CAACAGTCCAATCCCCCCCCAGGGCACGCCTCAGCAGCTTCCTCCGGTAGTCAACACCTTCCAGCCGCCCGTTTCAGCGCCCGCGCCTCCCCCCAGCTCAGCCCCCGCCTCTCTCGACCGCCTTCCACCTCCGCCTCAGCCGCCCAGCAGGCCCTTCGTCCCCCCGCCTCCACCTCGACCCCCCACCCGCCCACTCTCTTCCCTGCCTCCATTGCCCTCTGGCCGCCCAGTTCTGCCTCCCTCTCCTGCGTCTCCGTCCAGCCGCCCCGCCCCCCCACCCCCTCCCTCTGGCCGCCCCGCCCTCCCCCCTCCTCCCTCTGGCCGCCCCTCCCTCCCCCCTCCTCCCTCCGGCCTTCCAGTACTCCCTCCCCGCCCACCCTCCCCCGCCCCTCGCCCTGCGCTTCCGCCTCCCCCCGCTGGCTCTCCAGACCTGCTGCCTCCTCCTCCGCCTACAGGAAACGCAAATAATCCCGCCCCCCCTAAGTTCTCCTCTCGCCCACCGCCTCAGCGACCCCTCGAGAACCGCCCTCTTCTTCCTCCTCCTCCTCCTCTTCCTTCGCCTTTCGCGAGACCCGCCGAAGGCCGCCCAGTCTTGCCTCCAGCCTCCTTCGGGCCACCGCCTCGCCAGCCCGCCCCGCTCGTGCCGCGCCCTTCGCCTGCCCAGCTCCCCGCCCCCATCCCTGACACCAAGAAGCCGACCCGCCCCTGGAAGGACGCCTCGCACGCCACTCACTTCCAGATCATCGAGGTTCCCGAAGCCTCGCCGCCACGCCCTCAGGACGTCGCTGAACAGCCTGACCCTGGTTTTAACCTTCCTGCAGAAGCTGACAACCTCCCGAGACGCCCGCAGGCCCAGCCGGCGAAGCCCGACTTGGACGGAGTGAACGTCTTGCCACGATTCCGCCCGAACGCCCCTCCGCAGCAAGAGACTTTCGGATTCCAGGACCCCCCCAGGAGAGTCTTCAACACCCGCCCCCGCCCTCTGCGCCCGGACAGACGCCCAGTGCTGAGCAAGCGCCCACATTTCTTGGAGAACTTCAGTTTCTTCGGTCGCACGCCCGTCGACCGGCGGCGGGGCGAGACAGGCCCTCTGGTGGACACCAACAACGCGAACGTCAAGGTGAGCACTAAGCAGCCCGAGGGAGACGCACTTCGCTACAAGCTCCACCATGGCCCCGTCCCCAACAACGCGCAGAAGGTCGTTGTGATCGGGCCGTTCAACCAGCCCCCGCCCGGCGCGCCCATCATCCCCCTTCCAGACAAGGAGGTGCCGCCACCCGTGGCGCCCAAGAATCCCGGGCTCCTCCCACCTCCTCCTCCTCCTCCTGCGCCAAGCCGAAGAGTCTCAGCTCCTCCCCAGACGAATTCTGGAGCCGTTAAGAAGCCGGAAACCCACCTCCCTCCCCCTCCCCCTCCTCCACCTGCAGGCATCCCCCAGCCCCTCCTACGAGCCCCGGCCCCTCTCCCTCCTCAGCCGCTTATCCAGGCGCCACCGGTGAGCTCTCAGGACCTGCTAGAGAAGACGGTTCCCGCGGGTGTCAACAGCGAGCCCATGGACGCCGAGAATAAAAAGGAAGACAGGATGACGGACTCAGCCGGAGAGACTTCCACGAGCACGAGCAGCGCGCAGGGCCCCTCGCCCAACGCCTCCCGGACTGCCTTGGGCGCCACTGATCCTGAGGAGGTGAGCGAGGAGCACAAGGAGGCCATCATCGCCGGCAGAATCAGGTTCCCGGCATTCCCCAGCGTCGAGAGGTCCGACTCAGGCAACGGCGGCCTCCCCCCCGGCGCCATCCCCATGCCAGTGCCCATCTTTGACGGCTCCAAGCTGGTGGTGCCCGCCCACAACCAGGCCTCCCGCCGCGTCCTCCGTCTCCCAACTCCCAAGCCATCCGCCTCGTCCTCCTTCTGGTCCTTCTTAGGCTTCGGGTCCTCCGAGCCCTCCCCGCCGCCCGTGGCAGCTGACAGACGGGTTGTTGTGGGCCCTCCGGCGCCGCACTCGCCCGCCCGCGTGCCCTCGCAGCCCGCCAATTACATCCGCCCTCCACCGCCCTTCAGGTCTCAGCCTCAGCAGGGTGTGACTTCCAAGCCCCGGCCAGTCTACAACCCACGCCCACAGCCCTTCTACACCAGAGCGGACCGCCCCGCTCCCGCCACAAGCCCGCGTCCTACGCCGGCCGCGAACCCGCCCCCGGTCTCGCACCCTGGCTCAGCCACGCGCCCCAACCCACCGGCGTTCGTGGCTCCGTCGGCGCGCCCTGAGGCCACGCCCCGCCCTTTCAGACAGAACCCTCCTTCGACAGAGCCAAGACCAGTCTATAGACACACCTCTACAGCCCCCCCGCCCACTGCACCCACGACTACAACGACGACCACGACCTCCACTACCACCACCACCACCACGACCCCCCGACCCACGACCACCAGATCGCCGACGTCACGCTCGCCACCCACGACCTCACAGCCCGTGACGCCCATGCGCATCACTGAGTACAACCCCTACTACGCCCATGCGCCACAGTACGATGAGAATCGGGGTGGATTCAAGCCGCCCACGCTTCAGTCTTCCTCTTATGATGGCTGGAGGGTCGTGGGCGTGCCGTCTACGCCCCTGGAAGGACAGGGCGACTCGCTCAGCCCCGTCGTATCTTTCGTGAAGGAGAACACACCCGAGATCATTATCAGGGCGCCCACTCACGAGAGCAACGACGACGACATTGTGACGGGCGTGATCAGCGACAGGATGGGCGAGGTCGAGGACGAGGACCAACTCGTCCAATTTTCGTCGCGACTCAACGTCGAGACGCCGGGAATCGTCCAAAGTTACTGGGTCAAGGCGCCGTCCCTCGCCTAAGGCCTCAGGGAAGTGAGAGAGAGAGGGAGATGGAGAGAGAGAACACGAGAGAGAGAGAGAGAGAGAGAGAGAGAGAGAGAGAGAGAGAGAGAGAGAGAGAGAGAGAGAGAGAGAGAGAGAGAGAGAGAGAGAGAGAGAGAGAGAGAGAGAGAGAGAGAGAGAGAGAGAGAGAGAGAGGCCCACTTCCCTCCTCCCAAACGTACCCTGAGGGCGACCCGAAGAGTCCCGGGGATGAGCCAGCCCGGGAGTGCAACGGCGCTGTCTCCGGAGCCTCGCAGACGTCGGGTTCTCAACGAGAACTCCGCGCATCCCTTATATGCTAATTCTCTCCACAGGATTCCGGCGACGGCGCTGCGGAGACTCATCGGTGACTCATTCTCATGACTCATGACCCAACATCACCCACGTGACTCACAGTGAGAGACAAGCAAACAAACAAACAGATGAATTGAAACACACTAGTGACGTGTCCTAAAACGAGCATTCATGTCGACTTTTATAGCAACAGTAGACAAGAACATTAGTTTATGCTCAATAGAACTAAGGATAAGTAAATGGGTTACTTAATTAACATTTCCTCGAATCTAACTCCGTAGGAAATTAATACTGAGGGGATTTCTTTCCTTGCCGAACTCGACACAAAACTAGTGACTGTGATAGAACATCGACTTCCGCCTCGCTATCATTAGGGGAAGAAGAAAAGACAAGAAAATAATGACAAGTGCTCAAAGGGTGACATGCATTTTTTTTTTACTTACCGAAAATAAGCAAATTACCTCTTTTCCTTTGCAATCGACTGTATGCTACTGACTGACCTTGTATGAGACTGGACTTTGACCTCAGCCACATTATTGGGGACAATGGTGACCCAAGGTTTGTTCCGAGTCATATTTATTAATCACCTCGTCACTCATTTATCCATTGAATTATTTATGTTCATCCACTCGCCTATTTATTACCTATTTACTTGCCTATCTATTTATTAATCTATTTATTTATCTACTCATGTATTTATCTATTCATCTATTCATTCGTCCATGCATTCATTAACTCATTTCTTAACTTATTCAGTTATTAATTCCTGTTATAAATTCACATACCTATTTATTTATTTATTTATCTATTTAATTATTCTCATATATCATATCACTCATCCAAACTATAAACAGAATGAAATTCATCTTGATACACTATTTACACAAATAGAAACAAGATGAAAAATTATAGATGCTTCACACTTTTTCAACTACTCTGGCTTTTAAATACACGCGAAAAACACAGGGAATCAGAGTCAACACGCAGGTCCAATTATAAGGTTTCGGATCACCTTTTGTCCTCTATTTTGGCTGCTGGTCGAACCTGTCTCGGTGAGCATTTCGAGCTTTTTATTCTTGATTATTTTTTTACTCTAATTTATTTTATGCTGCTTCATGTTATACTCTGTCTCCTCTCTATGTCTACTTTATTAGCTGTGTCCTTTGGTGTCTTATGGTACTTCTCATTAGACTGTTATTTCACTTGACGTGTTGTGACTGGATATGTTTATTGTCATGGACTGAGTTTTTCACGTTTTTTTCCAATTGTTTCAGTGTTATTTTGAAAGAGAATGTACTTTTATTTATCTCTTTTGTTAGAAAGTTACAGATTTTCTTGTGCCAGATGATATGTACAACGTGACTGAATTATTTATTCGGTGACTAAGGTAATTTTGATTCGCTATTCGATTTATATACTGACCTGTAGCCACATTGTAACGTTACGCCTGCATTCAGTTATAAAATGTATTAATCTATATTGATTACATTGTTAGACTTTCTATTATATCTCCCAAGAAGATTAAAAAATCAAAAGCATGACATGACTTTTGACATAGTTTACAATCCACAATATCAGACAGTTGAAGTCTCTTAAATGCTGACGATGGAAAAACTACGACTGACACCCAAATGACATGACAACATCATCGAGACGTAATAACATCCAGTGACGTGACAGTGTAATGACGTAAAAGCTGTGACACCTATTTCTGTTTCTCTTTTGTGGACGAGAAAGGCAAGTGCTAAAACAGAATACAGCGTCAGGAACAGACCTTACAAGACTGACGTAAAAAAAGAGAGAAAAAGTGACACGAAAGGAAATACTGAAATGAAGTGACTTGACGCACGCTTGCTTTGGCGGCATGGACTATATCTGACATGACTTCAGATTTTACGCCAAAAGCACGTGAGGTCTTATTCCCCTCCCCCCCAACCATGCACCCCTCTCCCTCCTCCCCCCCACACCCACACTTGTACACAAATAAGTTCAAGAAATGAGACTGTCGAAGGAAAATTAAATAATAGTGGCATTCAATTTCACGATTTCCACTCCCTGGTTTGATGGAGATTGTTGATAGTTTAAGTTAAAATGTGTAGCTGAATGTGTCGGTACCAAAATATCCTTTTCGTTGGTAGAAAAACCCACAATGAAAAAACTAGATTTATTGAAAATGAAAATCCACCTGGATTCCATCTTCATCTTGAAGACCTGAAGATGGAATCCAGGTGGATTTCGAAACTGTAGTCTCATTTTCAATAAATTTTGTTTTTGCATTGTGGGTTTTTCTACCATAGTATCTACACTGACGAGTGTTTTACCATTCATCGTTTTCGTTATTATTAGATGAAAAGTGTATTGACATACTTAGCAGTATCTAAAAAAAATCTTATTTTTTGTATTTTCAATATTTTAACTTATCAAAAAAATCAATATTTGTTAAAACCTTTCAAAAGAAATATGATAGTATGTGTTACCTGATGTTCTAAGACTGAATACATTTATCGCTGCTAAATAGGTCATGACTCTGTTATCAGCGCATATTTGGCATTTTTTAAAATCATAAGGTCAATGTGTCACTAGATATAAGTGCCAAGAATAAACGTAGGGACAAAATATTTTTAAAAATCTACGTTTTTAATTTGTATTTTGGTACTGGACTATGAATAAAAACACCCACACTGTCTTGTTGTTGTAGTGTATTTTGTTGATGTAGAATAATTTGTATGCACAATTAATGTTGATTGTTATCAATTTTCCTCTCTGGTTTATTCTAAACACCTTATTTTGATTAATCTCACGAAAAAAAAACATAATCCGGTAACTGTGCCTCCTTCCTCATCTGCACTGTAGTTTGGTCACGTGACCTCGCTTTACTGGCCCTCTTTTGAAAGGCCCAAGTGCGTATATATTGTATGCGAGTGTGCATACACGTCCTTGTTTCTGAAAGGGTCAAAGGTCATCATACTACTTCTTTATAAATACGCAACTATTTTTTTCACTTTGTAGTAATCCAACGAAATTCAGATTTCTTTTAAATCAGCCAAAAAATAAGTCATACATATATAGTTACAGTATCTGTAAAATAAACCGTTTCCGTTAAATTTTCAAAATTGGCAATTGCCTTTCGCAATTTTTATCAATAACCTTTTCAGCCCAATGAAGATTTTTATCGTAAGTTATTAACTAACGGCCATTTCATTAAAATGTATTAGACCCATTAAAAATACTCCTGTAGCTCAAATCATAAATTCCAAAGCCAGAAAATCTTTCAAATTAGGGAACAGTCATATTCTGATGCTTTGCCGTAAAATATCGTACAGCTAAAGAAACGACACAGTTCCAGAAGTTCGATAAGGTGCTAGTGACGGACCAAGAAAAACGAGCGAGATTGATGTAACAGATGCAATGTTAGACTCAGCCTTTGCTGGACTTTTCCGTCTTTAAAAGGAAAAGTGAGAGAAAATAAACTTGAGAGGAAACCTAGTTTGTACATAGTATCTTCATTTATTTATTACCATTTTGATGACTAACTATCCATTTATAATAAAAATCATATTGATGAAGTTGAGTTTTATTCCTTTCTTGCAACATCAAGTATTGAAACCACTTCTCGAGGTGATGTCATAGACCTGAGGACTCTTTCCTCTTCTTAAAGAAACAGATCAGGGGATCCCAACCTAGGGACCACGGGGTACTTTCTGTGGGGCCATGGAGCAATATGAAAAGTATGACCATAACTTAAACTGAATTTTATCTCACCTATAGTCAGGGCCGGATTATGACCTTTTGGGGCCCCTAGGCTAATGAAATTATGGGACACCCTCAGAATATTTTAACTCGTGATGTATTTTAGCGACATTTACATAGCTTGAAGTAAACTCATTGCAAATTCTTTAAATAAACTAGCATAGCTATCTTTTGTTTGTCTATAAAAATATTCTTTAAATACCACTATTTTACTATATTTCAACACAACCGTAGTGAAAAAAAACAGATTTTTTATAACCAAGCCCCTCAAGCTTGGGGCCCCCAAGCTTGAGGGGCCCTAGGCTGCAGCCTATACTAGCCTATAGAATAATCCGGCCCTGCCTATAGTACCTACATATAATTATTTCTCACATATGAATAAATTGGAATCTTTCTATAAAGAATTATTGTCCTAAAGCTATTGACACTATTACATTACTATTCATAAGTAGTAATAACTGAATCTGAAAAGATGACAGTCACAGAACGGGGCCATGGAGATTATTACATATTAGTCGGAGGCTACAAATGAGAAAGGTTGGGAATCACTGGTATAAATAGATGAAGTATCATATGCCATGGGTCTTCTTTGGCAAAGAACTTCGTTTGACTTTGGAACGAACACTATACATAGTTATTAAATAGCTTTACATACACTGATAAATATCCAAGTGTATTTACATAAGGCTTTATATGCCGCGCCAGATAGCTGCAATTATTTCAAGTCTTATGGGCGGAGCATCGGCGATGCCGGGCTTACGAAAACACATCGTAGTGTCATACCACTTCAACAAAACCCACTGTATCACACACTTGCATCCCGTGGTACGTTTATGAACATGATTATAATGGTAAATGCGATTTGCATGGCTTAGACCTTAAAGCCGAATATGGTAGAATTATGGGTTATGACTTCATTGCCGTAAAAACAAGTATTTTGCATACTTTATTGACTTCCACATTCCTACCATGCTATATCATCATTGTTACAGCTGTTCATATAGTGGTGAAGTTGACCATTATAATGGTGACTGATAATACAACAACGATAACGATAATAATAAAGGATAAAAATAACAATAACAGTGTTAATAGAAATGACAATGGCAGTGCTCATAATAATCATTATAAAATAGTTCATTCATATTGTGCTTTTTCATTAATTACGTCAACTACAGCTAGATTAGTAGCTATCGACATAAATCTCATACTTGATGGATTTGAAGATGCAAAACTGTTCGTACTTGTATTTCTATTTCTATTACTATAGTTATGATAATACCCGTAATAGTGCTAATATTAACAATACAAATAATAGTAATAATAATAATAATAATAATAATAATAATAATAATAATAATAATAATAATAATAAGGCTGATAATAATAATAATGTTGATAATAATAATTATTATAATCACTATCATTATAATATTTATTACTATTATCATTTCTTCTTTGTCATTATTACTATCACAGTTATTATTGTCATTATTTTTTCATTATCATTTATCGTATCATTTACAGGAAAAACAAAAGAAATAGTAATATGTTAGTATCTGTTGAGCTTTAATCGAAGGATCACTCTCTACCTATCAAAATCTATAGAGATTCGAATGTATTGCTCCGGCTTTGATTCTGTCCTTCGATAGTGTGTATTCATCTACCTGCCTTTTGATTAATCTTAAAAAACATGTAGTATATTATTCATATGAATTCTTGTTTCTTTTCAAAATAATCATAAAGTCTCCTACGAGATTAAAGAAAATTTAAGTCATGTAAAGAAATTCAAACGAATATTCATCCCCATTTATCAAACCTGCCTTTAATGTATATATTAATTTATATATTCCTTAAATGGTCAAATGAAGAATAACAAACAATACAAGATTTGTCATTTTACCTATTCGGCGGCGAGTCTCGCATGAGTATTGACGAACTGAATGGACAGGTGTGACCGCTCCGCCCACACAACCTGTCCATCCAGTTGAAAGTTGAAATCACTTGAAATTCGTCAGAAAAACAAAACAACTTTCTTTATTCCGTTAATGCTGTTTTACTATACTTTTATCCTTACCTTTCCAGACATTTCTTCCTCATTCAACTTCTGGAAATTTGCTGTACAGTAAAAAATGTCTCCCTTTCTTTTGCTTTTCTTTTTAAGTGAGTACTGACTCCGTGTCTTCACCCTTCAAATATTCCCTTGTGAAATTCCTATTTTTTTATTTAAAATATATATATATTTTTTTTAATGAAGAAAAAGAGGACTGTTCGGCTAAGTGATAGAGTTTTTTACCTTGTTTTCACGTTGCATTTGCGAAACAATCAGGTGTCATATTTCCCAACGTATGACAATGCAATACAACAGCACGGGTACCCATACCCCTGCTCATCACATTACATTTGCAAGTGAAACAAGCCGTGTCCCTCTATCCTGTGTGTGAAATTGCGTCCTATGGAAGACCCGACTCAAGGTTACGAAGGCTTACGAAATTTCAATGGTCTTGGGATAGGCGGGAAAACTCACTTATTTCTAGAAGTATACATAATCGCACTACTAATATATGGCCGATCCATGCAGGCGGGCAACTGTGAAGGTGACGTCACAGGCGAAAAAACAACCAGGAAAATTATCAACTGAGTAATTTGTCCGTCCGTGCTCTCATCTCTATTCGTGTCCGCTTGTGTGGACAGGCCTTTATGGGAAAAAAAATCATGCCACATTTCCTGGTACACTTTAGTGGTCATCTTTAACGAGATGAATATAAGGGGGTGGGATTCCTGCGATATTTTTTTGCCAATAAAAAGAGGGTTGGTCTTATAATGATGATTACGATCTTGCATTCTTAATAGTTACAAAATTTGTGGCGTCATACCTCTCCGAAAATTAAAGCTACTAAAAGCGACTGGACCATTGTCATTTTAAAGAAAATGAGGATAGTCCTACCTTCATCGACCATGCATACAGGAAAGAAAAAGAAAGAATATCCTGGTGTAAAGGGGACTTCTTGCCCTTGATCAGGTTGTCTGTCTATTGGATTAGATATGGTTTTACCATGTCTTTTTCTATCTTTCTCATACATATATAAGCTCTTAAAAATATGAATTTCTCTTAAAAAGAAAACAGATACAATTGTCCCGAGTGTTTAAAAGGCTATCTTCTTCGACCAAAATTTATGAGCATTTCATTTACTCTTAACTTTTCTTAGGGATTTTCCAGTCACCATTGTGTACCTGTTAAAATTGTTTTTTTACAATGCTCAAACATAACAATCCACACCATTCAAAACATGAAGAAAACTTGTAGAACTTATTAGTTTGCAGCACTTTAAAAGTATTTTCTCTCTCCTTTGAGGCCAATTTTGAAAAAAATGGAGTCTTCCCTAGCTTTTAGGAGAAATTCTATGTCTGAAGAAAGTAAAAATACAATACATATCAAAACAGCAAATTTTGCAACTTTGGCCTTTCTGAAGACAGACGGTCCTCCTAAGGTAAGAGATGGCTTAATCAAGAAAATTAGTCCACCAGTTTCCAAGCTACTCTGAAAATCTTATAATTCCTGTGACTATAAAAGATGTTATGATGTTACATTACTCCATTCTATATTTCTTACCATCATGAGCAAATCCTCAATGTCTAAGAGCCTTTCTACATATTGTAAAATGCTCTACCTCTCAACCCAGAGTTGACAATTCCATATACCGTATCAATCCATATACATGCTCATATGTTTTAACCCATTCCCAACGGGCTGTCACGTGTCCATGACATGCCCACTGTGAGTCTATTTGTTTGATTGTTTTGACGCATAGATGGCTACACTTGTACTAATTCACCAATGAGCCAGTTACGAGCACTACCTGTCTCGAAAATATTTTACGTTATCTTATTTTGCTATTACTATTGTTTATAACATTATAGTAATTATAATGTTTATGACAAAAATAACACCATCGATAGTAAAAAATACACTTTCCCGCCAATTCAAGGAAAGGTGAAATCAGGTAAGACAGAGCCATCTATGTGTAGAGACATTTTACAGATATATAAAAAATGAGCACAGCATTTCCCCATTCTTTGTACATTTCCCCCGTCGCGAATGGGGCAACGAAGGGATAGATAGAAGGTTCAGTAAAGGCAAAACAAACTGCTGACTAATAACAAACATGTTTATTAGTAAATGAAACCTTAACACAAACTTGCTTTTACTTTCCTTTTCTGAGCAAATAAGAGATCTATTTCTGAACATTCCTACAGATGGCCAAATAATGAAGCTGTTTAACATTGGTTGGGAGGAATGGATAGGCCATGAAGTGCAACAGGTATTTGTCGACAGCCGCCTATGGGGTCAAATTTAAGGCCACAAGTTTTAAAAAGCATGACAAAGAAAAAAACTAACAAAAAAAAAAAAGGAAAACTAAATTAATGAAAAAGGAAATTTAACATACAAAAAAATAATAATAATAATAAATAAATGAAAAAAAAAGAAACAAATTTTAAGCATGAATTTTGCCGGTGTATTCACACATGATAGAGCCACGCAGCTAATTTGTGATCTTCCATAAGCTTTGTCCAGCAGCTTACAAGATCAGAAAAACCCTGTTAAGCTGCCAAAGCCACAGTTAGGTAAAAATTATTTCTATCAAGTTCAGGTCTAAAGCATAAACCTCATGGAGGGCTATGAAGCCTGAAGAGTAACCTGCAGTCCATTTAAAACAAGACCACTTCACCGATCACTACATCACGTGTGTAGAGAAGAAATACTTGGTTTCTCTATCATTTTTCCTTGGGGTTACAGAGCACACAGTAACCTTTGAGCATGAAGGAATTACACCCATTAAAAAATCTATAGAGACAAATGAAGACGAAGAGTGGGGCCGGATCCTGAACTTGAAGCGTCCAAGACCTTCCCAATTGATGTGGACAATGCTTTAACCCAATGACGCCGGGTGTACTAAAGGAAAATAAAACTCTACGCTCTGGCAAACAAAGGCAGCGCGCCGACTTTGAGCGCAGGAGTACGGGGCGTCAGCCCGAATCACTGGCTCGCCGCGCTTTGGCGCGCCGCCGGCTGGTTTGGCCGCACGCCACCTTTCGAGCGATTTGTTTACACGCGTATCGCCGTCACCCGGCGGCAAGGGGTTAAGAGTCCGCTCCTCCCCCTCCTTGTTCTTAACGCTGTTTTGCCCCTTACCAATGGAGTCATTTATTAACCTTTTTCTATCCATAAAGCACTGGGTTTGTGTATATACAAATGAAAGCTTTCAAAAGCCAAACAATAGTAATTGATGTCTAAAGTAATATTACACTAAATGAAGTCATCGTACTCATTATATCCATAGTCGTTGCCAACATCATCCTGCAATATAGAAGGGAAACATGAGTAACGTCATTTGATCCTCTAAAAAATAAAATCAAATACTTTACAGCATTATAATTCATGATGCAAAAATACAATGAAAAACCATGGTAATAGCATTCCATTATCATTACTCTGTGGTTCCCAAACAGGGTACTAAGGTATCCTGGGATGTCCAAGGCAGTGCCTAGGAGCAGCAAGATTACAAAGTAAAATAAAATCTCCCCTAATCCAACCAACAGCTAAGTGAACCTTTACCTCTTTATGGAATGGCTGCTTTTTGATTTAGGAAACTAACAGGTTTCACACCCAAATGATAAGCACAAAACCACTACAAAAAAGTAACTTAAAGGCAAGCCAGCCAAGGATGCACTCTGCAGAAGGTAAATACATAAGGGATACGGTGGTGAAGTACAATGCAAATTTGGGGCGCCGTCACTGGGAAGTAGGGACCCACTCCTCCAGCTCCTAGTTTGTTTGATAAAGAAATGCAGGGAAGGGGGGAAAATGGCAAGAAACATTGCACTGAAAGACAACAAAGATAAAAAGGGGCACAAATGAGGAGGGGAAAGGGAGGGAGGGAGGGAGGGAGGGGGGGAGGGAGAGAGAGAGAGAGAGAGAGAGAGAGAGAGAGAGAGAGAGAGAGAGAGAGAGAGAGAGAGAGAGAGAGAGAGAGAGAGAGAGAGAGAGAGGTAGGGGGGTATAGGGAGAGGGAGCCAGGGACAGCCTTTTTTTCTTCTTGCAAGACAATTCTTTTTTTTACCCTCCGAAAAACACACAAAAAAAAATTACTCACGGCAATGGCTCCTTGACCGACATTGAGTTTGGCTTTCCCTCCTCCTTTCTTTTTACTCTTTGGCTTACTGGCCTTGACTTTCTCATTGTAGAGGCTGTTGAGGACTGAACTGACTTTTTTCACCTCTTCCACTTCAACTGCAGAGAGAGAGAGACAGGTAAAAAATAAATAAATAAATATAATACTGGTCATCTGGATGAGAAAGGAACAAGCAGTGAGGGAGAGAAAGATGGACATGGAAAGACTAAGATTTCTATCTGGGTAAAGAAAATGGGTAATGAAGGCAGGGACATCCAAAGGAACATCATACTGCGAAATCATACAAAAAGCCAACTTTCCATTATCTTAAAACATATATTTACCTTATCATTACCTCTTTAATTAATCATAAACTACCTGCATAATCAATGAAGCTTGCTATATGGTACTTGTTTTTCACTGTTCTCACCTATTTGGTAAGTTTATACTATGCTTATGTATTCAAATCTAATAACTAAATTTGTCTGTATCAACTTGTCATCCCCCCCCACACCACATATACTTGTGTAAGTTCAAAACCAAAAGATATACTATTTTTATAAAATTACAGAAAATAATGCCACATTAAGTTGCACTTGCAAGGATGACTAAGTGGGCACAACAAATGTTAGTGGGTGTGGCAACTTTAATATCCTTTTGCATGTTGAACCCTTTCTAAAGGTTAAAATTCAAACAAATCTATATATATATATATATACACCCCCCCACACACATACATATTTCAATATCTATCTACCAATATCTATATACACATGTATAAATAAAGAGAGAAAAAAAAACAAAAGAAAGAAAGAAAGAAAGAGAGTCAGAGAGACAGACAGAGAAAAGGAAGAAATAATTCCTGTTCACACTTACTGTTCGTACAGAGTTCTCTACTAAGGTCTTCTACAAAGCTGATGTAAAACGGCCGCTTTTCTAACCGCTCTGTGGATCTGATCTTTGAGATGATAGCTTTTCTAAATGATTCTAAACCGTTACTAGTGGAGATATCTAGGCCGTCCAGCAACACATCCTCTGAAATGATAAAAGATAAAAATTAATTAATAAAACAGAATGGCTGAAAGTATCTTTCTAGCCTCATTTACAGGAAAATCATGTATACTACAGCCTTATTTTTAGAGCATCAATACAGCACTAGACTGTGCACTCTGGCAAGTGGCTCAGCATTGTACATGATAAACTATACATTTATATGTGTGTATGTATGCATGTGTGTGTGTGTGCATGTGCAGGTGTGTGTGCTTATATATATGCATATGTGTATGTATATATGTATACATTATGATGCATATACTTGCATATACATCTACACCCTGGAGTATAGGTCCACAATGGATAGGGGGAATAGAGATTTATTCCTTCACCCATCATCAAGAGGTTTAGTTACCCCCCCTGCAATGCATTTTCTATGTATGGGCCTTCCCTACTGGCACACATTTGGACTACTAACACTCATACAATACATCAATTGAAAGCAGCAGAGCCCTACAAGAAGGCATAAAATTAACCTTAATACAGAAGGCTACAAGAAGACCCATCATTATAAAGTTGGCAATAAACATGGGATTACCTCAAAGGATTTTATAGAGCAATAAATTATACATTCCAGATCAGTATATGAAGTATTGGTGAATATACACTTGTGGTCAAACACATACATTTATATATTTACATACATACATATATACATATATATATATACATGTACTCACCCTCTTCCGCAACGCTCTCTGTTGTCCCCATCAGGTCATTGGCTAGCTGCAGGTCAGCATCCTCCTGTATCTTTTGCATCCTTAGTTTCTCGGCCAGCTTCTCCTCGGGCGTTAGGGCCTTTTCTCTTTCCTCGGCCTCCTTCTTTCTCCTCTCCTTCTCCTCTACCTGTTTTGCCTACCCAGGGAGAGAAAAAGAAAGTTAGAATGAAGCTGAGAAAATGGAGAGTGGCCTGGATAGCTTAGTCCGTCGATGCGTTGTCCACTGTGAATTTAATCTGTCAATATTGTTTCCTCACAGATGGCCCTGTAAATGCTTAGTCACCAAGGAGTCATTCACAAGGCTTATTCAACTTCATCTGTTTAGTCTATTCTTTGAATTTTCTAAAAGAACATTCACCTTTATAACTATAACCTACTAACATTGCTATAATAATAATAATAATGTTAATGAAAACGCCATTCACAGCGAAGATATATACATTTGAAATAATTTTCTGGCCTATCCCCCTACCCCAAGAAAGAAAGAAATAAAGAAAAAAATAAATAAAATAAATAAATAAAATATGAAAATAAAAAAATAATATTAACCAAATGGAAGACAGAGGCATGGTTTAGTAGGCCTGGTAATTTACTTTGGTACCTGAGCGCTGGTGAAGCCATCTAGGTGTAAGCAAAATTGACAACAAAATAGAGAGAAATGTGACATCCAGCGCCAGTGGTTAACATTCGCGCAGGCTGAGGAACCTTTATGTCCTGGCTTAAGTACATAAATAAAATAAATAAGAACACTAATAAAATCTATAACAATAATAGTAATAGTACTTATAACAGATAATGCTGAGGCTTGATGATGATATATATATTTTCTATAGATAATGATATATTATGATAATGACAACAGAAACAAGGAAAAGAGTATCCAATAACATATACTGAAAAACTCTCCATGACATTTAAACTGAAAATATTACAAAAATACTGTAGAATACTTCCTTGAAAATCTTGCAATCAATATAATTGTAATGATTCATCAACATAAATACACATGTAAACTGTATAACTATGTACAACTTGCTCCCAATGTAGCTTTGCAATTCACAAGATATAATCTTGCAATTTAAGGGGACTGTCTGCTTTTGTGGGTCAAAAATCTACTTTTTGAGATAGGCAAATGGGGAACATACTTTCATTCTTACAGAAAACTTACTTTTTATTTTATCTTTTTATTTTTTTTTATCAAAATTACAGCTAAAATCTATAAATGTAGAATTTTCATGTTACACACTTCCCACTACAAGTACACAGTTAATAAATAATAAATAACACAGTAAATATTTCCTGTAGCAGGAGATCTACCCCATCGGCAGCAAACTACCATGTATATATATATATTTTTTTCTATTGTGCGAATTTTCAGACATGCCATACTTTCAAAAATTGATAAATATATGAACGTCAGAACTTTTGTCCTCTTCTCTTGGAACTACAACAAAAATTGAGGAGAAAAAAGGGCACTGCGCTACTACAGCCAACTAATAGGTAAAAAAATAATGATAAAATTACTCTTTTATAAATGCATGACTAACCACACATCTAGTAAAAAAAAAAAAATCTTTATTTTTCAGTGCCTGTTACTTTTATTTGTATCCTTGAAGATAATTACTGTATCATTCAATATAGCTTGTATACTCACATTGCATGGGATGAAGTATATTTTTTAAATGAAAAAAGTAAAAGGAAAAACTATCAAAAAATTGTACTAAGAAGGCAATAAGAATTCATACTTTGTGAATATTTCCCTGTTCGGGAGAGGGAGTGGGGGGAGGGAGGGAGGGAGGGAGGGAGGGAGGGAGGGAGGGAGGGAGGGAGGGAGGGAGGGAGGGAGGGAGGGAGGGAGGGAGGGAGGGAGGGAGGGAGGGAGGGAGGGAAAGAGAGAGAGAGAGAGAGAGAGAGAGAGAGAGAGAGAGAGAGAGAGAGAGAGAGAGAGAGAGAGAGAGAGAGAGAGAGAGAGAGAGAGAGAGAGAGAGAGAGAGAGGGGGGGAGAGAGAGGTAAGAAAAGTTACTCTATGCCTTACCTCCTTCTCTGCAATGATGTCAGCTAATTTCTTTTTCTTCTTCTTCTTGAGACTTGAAGAGTCTGTTTTCTTATCCTTATCATCTTTGTTTTCACTGTCTTCTTCTTCATCGTCCCAGTTGTCCTTCAGCAGGGTGGAACAGAAAACTAAATTTAGTATACATAATGAATGTTATTGTCCTGCGAAAAGGACGGTAAAATCATCCAATTTTTCATCACATACAATGATGGTATAACAAGTGATTACTGTAAAGACAACGATAATGGCAGCCATGGATATAATAAAATAAATAAATAAATAAAAAATAAAACTGGTGACAATACCAACAATGATCAGATAATGTATATCATGCCTATCATTATCCATTATAACAAAGTCAACAACAATATAAACATTAATATTGAAAAACACATTGAACATTACATGGAATACCAAACACCAAATACAATAAATTTAAGTTCCCAATTGGTAAGTTGGTTTCAATATTACGAGCAGGGCACTAAAAAATATATTCGGATCAAAGGTCCATGAGAAATGCCAATTAAAATTTACCTAATCTCACTGAACTCAAAATGTTTACCACAGGTTATGCCTGATAATTAGGTCATTTTTCATAAAAGGGAAAATGTCATATTAAAATCTACTGATCAATTCATTTTACATACTGTCCTATGTATACATGATTAAAAATCAACAAATAACAAAAACAATGACTTGAAAATCCAATCATTTTTAAGATGTATGATACTTAAAAAGATTTCTAATATTAAATCATAAAATGTTGGCTTCCCATATTATGAAACACTATGACATTTTCCTTTTGTGCAATTTCAAGCATATATGAATTAGTATTTTCTGAAAGGAGGCAAGATGCAATATACCACAGAAAACTGTGGTACAAAATTGTAAAAAACTAATGAGACCATTTTTCTATAATTCCTTGGGGGATTGTATCTTATAATTATCATATATTCGGTATAAGTGCATTATATTAAAGTTTCATACTATCCGGCTACCCGCAGTGACTACCTCTATGACATAAGGGAATTGAATGATTGCCAAAACGCTACATCTGCAGTGATCCAGCAAATATAATAAAACCTCCTCCATATACATTCTGGCAAAAAAGATTCTGAGATATTTAGTGATAACGAGTTCTAAAAGGTATACCCTGCTCGAATAAACGGGTGATTTTTTTAGTTTCACACAGCTATACACTCTTGCAATTATTATTCCTTCTTTTAATTATCAATGCTGTAATATGTGTGAAGCTCTTGATATTTTTCACTGCAAGAGATATAAATGAAAGTACTGGTCATGTTTAATGATCTAACCCCTCTATGATCAAGTCCCTATTCCTCTAGCCATTCCACGGAAATCCACAAATACTGTAGGAGCCCAAACCCTTCCTAACCTGGGGCTTTGCCGTAAACTTATTCTCTACGTAGCATTTGTAGTGACCTATTTTCTTTATTTCTGGTGTTATTTTTTGCCTCTGCAGATTATTTCATCTATAAGCAAGTGCAGTTTTTCTCTCTGATTATTACAATGTCAATATTATGTGTTGCACAACTTTCTTGTTATCATTTATGGTAAAACCATAAATGAAAAGGGTCTTATTTTCAGTCATTCTGCCCATTACAGGCAAATTTTACTCTGTACGACAAGACTGCAGAAAAAAAAACTATACCAATAATTCTGCGAGGTCACAAAGCCACGGCAATCGCCTGATGCAGCCAGCTCTAAGGCCCAACATATTGTCCTTATTACTCACTTGGGAATTGTGAAAGACGTGGGATAAAACGAACGTGTGTTAGACTGTTATGTACTCCAGATGGTAAACGCAGACATTAGTGTTAAATTTACGTTTCTCATCAAGTATTACCGTTTTCATCTTTTATGTATAAAATATAGCTATCTTATATTTTCTACTTAAAAAAAAAGATATATTTCATTATTCACCTTCATTATCTCATCAATGGTGGATAAATTCTTAACATATGTGTTACAAAATGAAGAAATCTGGCTATCTCTAGGTACTACTCAAACTACTAACTATGAAAGTTTTAGAAAAAAAAAAATCTTTTTAACATATGTATCTTTCAAATCCCTAAGAAAAATATTATATGGCATGAATATCAGATAACCATTAATTTTACTCTGTTTCAAAAAGAAAAAGAAAAAAGAAAAAAATGGCCTACTTTCTAACTTTCTCTTGTAAAGTGTGTCAATAATTACTGCCAAAGTACACATTTATAAATGAAATAGATTCAATATGTCCGTCAAGAAATTTCCGGTCTCTAAGGATGTCAATCCCTGCCGATAAACCTGCCGCTTCTCAACGCTCCTTATAAACTAGGCATTATTGAATACCATGAACGCGGTGCATCATAATGCAATTTTATAACACGCAAATGACGACTTTAGTCATGACCAATTTAATTAATTGGGGTTTTAAGCTACATCTTGCATCGGGCCACCATCACACTGTCAAACATATGAAATAAAATCTAAAACTCGGATTCCGACGCCGCCTGGTGCTTTGAAGACCCTTCGCCACGGCTTTCCACACGACAACTAACAGCGGGACTTTTTCTGCAACGGAACGAGATTGCAGACGAGCATATTGCACCATGTGAGGGAAGGCCTTGCTAGGGGACCCACTGGCATTGAACATTTCCCTGGTCAATATGGCTAAGACTTCCCCTACATTCCCTTCCTTATTCCCTCTTCTGCTCCTGTTCTTCCACTTCCTTTTTATCCCCACCTGCTTATTCTTGCCTTTTTTTCCTCCCCCTTCAACTTTCTATTCAGCTGGTGCCTCTTTCCATCACTTTCATCCCCCTTTCTAGGACCTCCCACTCGTAACAAAGGAACGAATCCCTCACAGACTGGTCCCCTAAAACCCCCTGGTAAATCCCCAGCAACAGAATCCCCACAGCAGTAATCCCCCGAAGGAAATCCCGGCGAAAAATCCCGGAACCGAAATACATCTCGGTCTCTCCCTCACCTTGACAGAGTCGTCCTCGTCCTCTCCTTCCCACTTATCAGTCAACTTGGCAGGCTGGGCTTGGGGAGGCTCGAAGTCCTCGGCATCTGC